AACAGCACAAATTTGAAGCCAGCCCAGCTGGTATTAGCAAGACCCCCTCTCAGAATTTAAAAAATGACAAAGGGCTAGGAAAGTAGCTCAGTGGTAAAGCACTTGTAGCCAAGTCCGTCTTCAGGCTCCAGTACAAAACAAAAAAGGCCAGCTGCTGCCCTTCCATTTTCAGAGTTAGGTTTTGAGGGCTCCCTTCTCTGGCCTCTAGCTTTTAGAGACAAGCACTCAGCACCTAGTATCCCAAGGGTCGCACTGAAGGCAGGCAGGGCCTTCCCCAAGGAGCCTGGCAGGCGGCCTCACAAGCCTGTAGAGTGTCCGCAAGACCAGCTCTCATCTGCACCTTTATACTCAATCTCTAGGCCAGCTCTGAGGCCACAGAGTAGAGCCTGAGGGGGAAAAAAACAACTCAATATAATGAATATTCATTTATTCATGTAACCATTTGTTTGTGAAAAACATTTTGAGAGGTACTGGGGATTGAACCTTGCTTCCTGCACGCTAGGTAAGCAAGTACTCTGCTACTAAGCTACATATCCAGTGCCTTTTAAAATTGTAGGATAAAATCTTACCAAATTGGGGCTGGGGATTCAGCTCAGCAGCATAAGCGCCTGCCTTGCAATCTCGTGGTCGTGAGTTTGATCCCCGGTACCGATTAAAAAAAAAAAAATCTTACCAAATTGCTCAGGCTGGTCGTGAATTTGTAATCCTCCTGCCTCAGCCCCCCAGAGTACTAAGATTATGGATGTGTGCCACCATGCTCAGCCATAGTGCTTTCTTCATATGGTAAGCCAAGTCTAACCTAGTGCTGGCATAGAATCGGCATTCACAACCAGACTGAAGGAATGAGTGTGGATTGATCAGATGCTCAAGTATTTGCTCATCGAATATGAATACATACTATCACACATCAATAAAAATGCCAAACCCGGACAAAATGTATACATCAGCTAGTGATTTATTACTGTCTATTTTTCTTTGAAAGTATGTACTATTTCTGCCCGTATTCTATTTTGTTTTGTTTTTCTTTAAAAAAAAAAAAAAAAGCCAAACCCAGGTGGGTGTGGGGGTGCACTCCTGTAATCCCATCACTCAGGAGGCTGAGCCAGGAAGATTGCTGACAGTTCAAGGCTAGCTTGGGCTACATAGCAAGTTCAAGGCTAGTCTGAACTACATAGAGGATGCTGTCTCCAAACGAAATGAAACAAAACAAAACAAAACACCCACATACTATCACATATGATATGGATGAGGAAGCTGAGTTTCACAGTGACGTCCAAAGTCACATAAGTCCTAGCTGAAATTCAGACCTGGATCGTTCTGGTACTTGCTCACTAAACTATCTAAGTGGCCGTACTGACTTCATTCCCTCCACAGAAAGCCTCCTGCACTGAAAGGAGAGAAGGGTGGGGCACGGTAGGAACCCCAAAAAAGCCGAGTCTGGACTGTGACAGGTGCCTCTCGGGGGATTTTAGGGTTTTGGCAGCTTGTGGGAGATGCAGGAGCTGATTGCTTCCGCGCCTGCCTATGCTTGGAAAGGACCGTGTAACAGATACCAGCTGAGGGTTTCGAAAGAAAAGCGCACCCAATAAAAAGCGGGGAGAGCAGGCAGGGATTTCCATAGCACCTGGTGGCAGAGGGGGTGGGGCCTTCCCTAAATGGCCTTACTGAGCTGGGACTTCTCCAACCCCTCCTCCTCCACTGGAGACACAAAGGCAAGGGCAGAAAGGGCCAGCAGTAAGCCGTGCATCAGCCCTGGTCACCGATATGAGTAACTGGGGAGGTGACATTCAGCAGTTGCAGGGGAGGGGGGCGGGTATCCGATGATGTAAACTGATCCCCAAGCAGGTTTCCATGTTTGCTTTGTTAAAGTCCAGTTTAATTAAGGGGCCTGTGCCTTGTTTGCGCTGGCTTTCAGCACCTCCTTCAGAGAGGAGGGGAAATGGGTGTGTTTAATCTACACAGGTGGGCCCTGTGAACAAGTCAACCCGTCAAGCGGCCAAAGCTTAAACTTTACATACGGGCCTTGCTTGTGTGAGTGCAGATGATGGAAAAAGAAAAGCAAGCCATCAGCTCACAGGCCTGGCAGTTAGCTTTTTTTCCCCAACCCCACATCAATTTAAAGCTGTGTGCTCTAGGCTGACAGCACTGAGATCCCCAAACTTTCATGGCCTGGGTCTCTCAGACCAGTCTGTGCCAAGGATAGGAAAATAAAAGGCAACTTTTAAAAATTAGCTTATACTTGAATTGTTTCTTTTATTAATATTTTCCATTCTAGAAATTACAGAAAAAACAATGGGAGAGACACAGGACTGAGATTGTTGGGTCCATTTCATGGTGCATGGGAATGATGCCAGCAAACCACCCCCAAAGTTCCCTCAGTTTGGTCAGAACTCTACGCTGAATACTTCAGTCCAGCTCAGCAGCATAGGCGCCTGCCTGGCAAGCACAAGGTCATGAGTTCAATCCTCAGTACCAAAAACAAAACAAAACCAAATAAACTTCAGTCCACTTGTAATAGATTCCTTTTCTGGGGGCACTAGGAGATGAATTCAGAAGCACTTAGCCACTAAACTTCAACTTCAGCTCTTTTTATTTTTGAGACAAGGGCTAAGTTCCTCAGGGGGCCTTTATGATCCTCCTGCCTCAGCCTCCTAAGTAGCTGGGGTTTCGGGCATGCAACATATACTCCATGACGTCCATTTCTAACCCTGATGTTAATGCTACACTCTTCCATGTTTCCAGACTGTGTCTGTCAAGAGTGAGTCCACTCCTAAATCCTGACCATCTTACAAAATCACGAGACTAGGGCCTGGGGATTTAGCTCAGCGACATGAGCACCTGCATTGCAAGCATACAGTCATGAGTTTGATCCCCTGTACCAAAAAAAAATCTCGAGGCCAGTTCCTGAGGTCAATGCATGGCTTCAGCAGAGGAGCACTCTGTCCTGCCATGATCCCACAGCTGCGTGTCAGGAAATCTGTTGAGTGGGGATGGGGTCTACGGATGTAAATAAAGAGGATAGGAACCAGCCATATCAGAACTACGTGGGGGTGCTGTGTGGAAGCCACTTCCTCCGCTGCACCCACCAGCCTTAGTAGGGTCCCTCCAGTCCCGCCTGATCTGCTTCTGCACTATGGGACCCTCCCTCAACGCTGTGATTCCAGGTCTACTTAGAAATGGACATAAGTTCCTCCAAGCACTTCCCTTCTGTTCTTTTTCTTTTTGTAAGTTTTTATTATTATTAGTTATTATTATTGACAAAAAAAAGTGAAAGAAAAAGACCAAATGTGGACCGTTTGGCAGGTTAAATAGTAATCACTTTACGCCTTGGTTTTCTCCAATCCAAGTTAGACACTCAGGGGTCAAATTCAAACCTTGTCTGCGGTAGAACAATTAGTTAGGACCCCGGAGCCCCTGGGTTTGCTTCTACTACTGTGAAGTCTACAGTAACCCTAACCCAGCCCACCCTGGGTGCTAGCAAGTATCCTGATGCAATAAGCAAAACAATTGACACTTGGACTGGGGCACCTCACCTTCATGCGTTCACACTTTTCCCATTTCTAACCTCCACCCTGCTCTTCAAGGTGGGGTCGTTTGCCTTCCAGAAGCAGGCCTCACTGCCCATTGATCCCTTTAAAACATTCCAGGCCACGCACACCCTTTACACCTCACTGCCCGGGTCCCACAGTGCCTTCTAAGGAGAGCCTGGGACACTCTGCAACCTGCTAAAACTTGCAATTCCGGAGGGCAGGGCTGGAATGTCCCTATCTGTCTGCATCTCACTTTACTCCTGGGACAGCCAAGGCGGAACACCAGGTGCAGGGAGAGAGGCTGAGTGACCCAAGTGGTCAATACTGCCCTTCTGATGCCACAGAGCACCCCACAGAACACAGCCGGGTCTCAGCAAAGCAAACACAGTTAATCAATCAGACTGCAGTTTCTCTGTAAAATACACTGCCCACTGTTGGAACAGCTTCCAAAGTTCAAAATACAATTTAACACAACAGCATGATTGCTGCACTTTTCACGTGGCCAAAGACTAGAAGAATAAGCAGAATGCATTCACCTTCGAGTAAATCACAGGTAATTTCTTTTTTTAAAAAGTATTTTTATCGTTAACATTTTGGTACCAGGAATCGAACTCAACAACTTGCACTTGCCAAGCTCTTGTATCATTAATGATACTTGCCCAATCAACAACTAAAATCATGAGGGGGGGGGGAGTGGTTTGATTCAAAGTAAGCACGGGCAATTAGTGAAACCAGAAAGGAGACCAGCCCCTTCCCTCGCTCCCAGCCCTAGGCAATACTGAAGTGGAACAAAGCAAACTAGATTATCACATTGATAAAGCCTGAAACCTATAGGGTGTTTGTGTGTATTTTCAACCCCTGAGTCAGAGCTTCTGGGCATTTTTTAAAAAAATCATTATTCACTGAGGAAATAGTACCTGTGCCAAAATGTTTTCACCTTTAGGAACAAAAGCCCCAGCCTATGGTGACCAAGAGCCACTCCCTAGTCAGCTCCCAGAAGGTGCACAGTGGGCTTGGGAGTCAGATCCCACTACACTTGCTCTGCTGACCCTAGACAAGTGGAATCACCCTCTAAGCCTCGATTTGCCCATCTGTAAAAAGGGAGCATTCCTTCCTGTCCCACTGTCTCGCCCAGCAAGTTTCTGCAGTCTGAATTGATAGGTTGTCTCCAGCAGTCAGGACAATGAGAAACACAGTGCTGATGGCCTCAGCGCACCTGCCCCTTCGCGCCCCCACCAGCCGTCCCCCACATTTCCGCCCCTTTATAACCCAGTAAGCCAGCGCTAGCCGGCTCAACCACTATGCTCAGTAGTGGTAAAAATTTAGACACTTAAACAAGCCTAAATTACAAGTGGTGCCGTTCGACCAAGGTAGGGGGATGTGGATGCCCATTCCAACCAAAGGCTGCAGAAGGACAGTGTCTGGGCCGCTCCCCTACCCCACCCCGCGACACCAGCGGCGCCCCCTCACCTTTGCCCAGGACGCGGCCTCTGTCTAGGTGGCGCCGGGGCACAGTAAACGTGTAGCTCTCGGCACCAAAGCCAGGGTGGCAGGGCTCCTCCGGCTCCAGGCAGAACCACGGTGAAATCTGGGGTGGAGGAGAGGTAGGGAACAAGGGTGACTGGGGGGTTCACTCCAACGCACACCGAAACCAACAGCGCCGCCTCTCCCTCGCTCCGGGCGTCGGGGTGGGGGGAGAACCCCCACCCGGGCAGGCAGCGACGTCATCCTCTCCCTCCCCGAAACCTGCTTCCAGTCCCCCCACGGACCCCCGGGCCTGGGCTCGCTGGCCCACCTTTCCTTCCAGGCTCCTTTTTCATTTTCCTGGAGACTTTTTACTCTTTCTGTGCCACTTTCCCACCTTCCCTGACCGGTAACGCTCAATCCTGTTTCCTCATTCCCAGGGGCGCTCAGATCCGTCCACCTCTCCTCCTCACCCCACATTCCTGCTTACCTCCCTTCACGGCAGGTGGCTATGTCCACACCAGCACCCCTTTCCTCACTCTGCGATCGTCCTACTACTCCTGGCTCGCTCTCTACCCAAGCCCGCCCAGCGGCACGGAGCCCCCCTCGAGCATGCACAAGGCCCCTCGCGGGGCTGCTTGCCGCCAGGGTCCGCGCTCCCCCAGCCCGCTTGCGTCTCGGAGCAGCCCAGAGCACTTTCCAGGACGTCCTGGCCCTTTGGACCCAAACTTTCTTGAAAGAAGGGAAGCAGGGACAGAAGGACGGGAGGAGGGACGCGGGGACCAGGACGCAGATCGTGGGGCCAGAAGGCGCGCCCCAAGTCAGGGCACCCCGCATACCTGCAGCAGCAGCAGGAAGGCGGAGAAGCCGCGGCAAGAAGGGCCCATGGCGCGCCGGGCAGAGGCCGAGCGAAGGCGGCGACCGGGCGCGTTCGGGGCGGGCTCTGCCTGGATAGAGTCCGAACGACTGTGGCGAACTCACAGGTGCTCCCAAAACCTCTGAGCTACTTAACATAGCAGCTGCCAGGTGAGCTCGCAGGCACCGCCCCCGACGTCGCTGATTGGCTGGAGACGCACCTGCGAGCTGCAGCCAATGAGAGGCGCCGCACGGCCCTGAGCTTCTACCGCGGGCCTGCCCACCCATGGCTCCGCCCCCTGCCTCGGAACCTCGGAACCCCCAGGTCTGCAATAGATACGGAACGGAGACTATATGGGACCTGCACGGTTCCAGTGCCACCAGGTTCGAAACCCAGCCCCGCCTGTGGACCACTAAGATTTGAGGTCAGAAAGGACTCTATCTGTAGTCTCCCCCACCACCTCTACCCTGCTTCCCCTCTCCTTCCCTCAGTGTGGTAGTGAGACGCCCATTCCGGTAAGAGCAATGTTTTTGTTTTGTTTTGAGACAGGATCTCACTATGCAGTTCAGGCTGGCCTTGAGCTCACTTTGTATCCCAGGTTGGTCACAAACTCACAACCATCCTCCTACCTCTGCCTCCCAAGTGCTGGGATTACTGGCGTGCACCAAGAGCAGTGTTTTTAGATCCACAATTGCTCCGTATAAATGTAAAGGGCAGTAACAATAAGAGCAGGTGTTGGACATTGAAGTTACAGTGCCAGGCTCTGCCAAGCATTTGGCATTGACCATCTCTTCTAATCTCAGAACAACGCGATAAAAAAGAAAGACCGGGGGTTTAGCTTAGCACCGAAAGTGCGATCCTCGGCACAAAACAAACAAACAAAACAAAAAAAAGCACGAGAACTGTGTTACTGCCCCATTTGACAGATGGGCAGCTGAGGCAGAAAGATGTTAACAACAACAGAAGTAGGTGCAGGACTGGAACCCACCTTTGATACCAAGGGCCTTTCTCTAACTCTGTTTCATTTTGACTAGCTCCTGACTCTCAAATGGAGCTGCAGAGTTTTTGTTATTGCAGTATTAGGAATTGAACCCTGAGCTTCCCACATGCTGCCCAAGTACATTATCACTGCAAGCACAGTACACCTTACCTGCATCCCCAGCACCTCTGAGCTACATCCCACTTTAGTTCAACCTTTTTTTTTTTTTTTAATTTTTTGAGGTGTTTTTTTTTTACCAAAAATTGAACTCAGACCCTTGTACTTGCCAGGCAGGTGCTTATTCCACTGAGCTTCATCTCCAACCCTTATTTTTTAATTTTTTAAATTAAAAAAAAAATTTTTTTGCTGCACTAGGGATCAAACCCAGGACCTTGTACATGCCAGTTAAGTGTTCTACACTGAGCTACATAATGAGCCCCTCAATCCTTCTTTTATTGTTTCCCAGAAAAGACCCTTCAGAGATTGCTGAGATCTGTTCTTTGTCTGAAACACATTCAGTGTCACATAAAATGTCAATGTCAAAGCCCAGACCAGAATCCAAGATCATTTGATCCCTGGATTGGGATTTTTAATACCACAGACACACTGCAATTTCACCACCTTCTCTGGAAAAATCTGTGCCCAGTAAAATAATTTTAGAATCAAAAATAAAATAGATACTCCAGGTTAGGTCAGATAGCTTCTCTGTCTGGGGCCAGCCACATCTACATGGTTTGATAATGCTTTCCCTCTGTTGTCCAAGTGTGGTCAGAACTACAAAACAGTAATGTGTGTGTGTGTGTGTGTGTGTGTGTGTGTGTGTGTGTGTGTGACAAGTGCTATATGTGTGACCTTGGGCAAGTCAGTGTTCTTGCAAATATAAGTGAGTTGATAGTGACTAAGGCAAAAACAGCCACTAAACAGAGTGCTTGATATGCAGGGTCAGCTGGGCATATGCCAAGGCTGAAGGCTGTTCTTTTGAAAGATCCACCCATTTCCCTCCTGGTGGGGACACGCATGTTTGGAGCATTTCACTTAGAGCTGAAGGTGAATCTGTGCCCACAGAGAGCGCTTTCTTATCCGCACTGGGGAGGTGTTGTCTCAAACCAAAACACTGTTTCCGGCCAGCCCCTGCCCCCAAGCCGACCCCTCGTTTTAATGGGTTTCCCAGCACACACCCAGCCTTTTGGATTTCTGCATGTTGGCTCCCTCTACCTCTTAGCTCACCAGGAGGCTCAGAGGGAAAAGTATTCGGTATTTCCTTTTCTACTGAGGCTCTGCCCAACTGTGCATTAAACAAGATAATGGAAATAGAGAAAGGCGTTTCCCCCATGGGGTGGCCTTGTCCGTTTATTTTTTTCCTCTCAGTTATGTAAAAAAAAATACATATTTTATACCACCAGGGGACCCAGGGAGCCTCTGGGGCTTTGCTTTCTTCTACCCAGCGAGCCGTGGCCTTGGAACTGTGCAGCAACCAACTCTCGCTGACTCTGCCATTACACTCTGTTAATTCAATAAAAAAAGATTTTAGAAAACAATTATGGGCCGCAAGGACAGGTCAGGCCAGATAGCTCTCCAAACTTCTCGGCAAGTGCTTCTCCAGACTCCAGGGAGGGTAAGAAAGGGCTGTCCCTTGCCCGGGCTGGCTGTCAAGGATGCTGAGGAAGAAGCACAGAGACTGGGGAGGCAGGGTGCTGTGTGGTAGTACAGTGAACTGCCTCGGTTCCCTCCTCTGTCAAACAGGGATCCAGTGTGGTGTGGGGATTGAATGAACCAGTCCAGTGAGTCTGGGCTCTGGCTGGCACAGCATTCAACTTCTGGGGCTGCCACTATCTACCTAGCCAACAAGTCACTTCATCTCCCACAGTTCCATTTCCTCATTCATAAAATGGAAACCTTTGAACTGGACTTGATGGCCCACTTCTATAGTCCCAGCAGTCAGGGAGGTTGAGGTCCAGCCTGAGCAATTTAGTAATTTAGCCAGACCCTGTCTCAACTAAAAAGTGTTGGGAATGTAGCTTAGTATCTCAGGTTTTTTTTTTTTTTTTTTTTTTTGGTACTGGGGATCGAACTCAGGACTCCATGCTTGCCTGGCAGGAGCTTGTGCCACTGAGCTAAATCTCACGCATTAGTATCTTAGTTTAAAGGCCCTACTACTCTCTCGGAAACCAAGCAATCAGCTCACTGCCCTGGTAATTGGCTGTGGCTTGGCAAGTGTGGCCGCCCCAGTGCGAGAACCACCAGCCTCTCCTGAGATCTGCACCATGTTGGAACTTGGGGCACTGGAAATCAAGCAACCAGTCGCCTCTCTGATGGTCTGAGAATCAAACATCCCACCCCTCTTCACCCCACCCCCATTAGCAATGGCAGCCAGAGGTCTGAGCATCTCTTGGGAGGCTGACCATATGCAATATAGCAATTCAGGGGGATTTCCTTCTACCATCTCTTTGAAGGCAAATATTTTCACCACTGTTTTGCTTTATTCTGATTAATATTATTGCTGTATTCAATATTCTCTTTGACAAGTTCATAATGTTCTGTACTTCGTTTTATTTTGCTATACCTGATTGAAAGAACAACTATTGTGAAGATAACGATATATATACTAATGATATATAAGGTACCTATTACTGTTATCCCGGTAACCTGCTGTGACGTTCTATACCAATTTCACTACACTGTCTAAATTGGCTTTGCTCCATCTTGTTCTGTTATATTTTACTACCTTCAAAATAATAAAAAATTTTTAAAAATAAAGGCCCTACTAAAAAAAAGGAAAAAAAGAAGTATTAGCTGGTAGGTCAGCATTTGGGAGATGGGGGGGGGGGGAGAGACCATGAATTTAAAGCCAGCCTGAAGGGGCTGGGGGTTTAGCTCAGCGGCATAAGCGCCTGCTTTGCAAGCAGGCAGTCGTGAGTTCGATCCCCAGTACCGATAAAAAGGAAAAAGACAAAAAAATAAATAAAGCCAGCCTGAAATATTCTGTAAGAGCCTATTTCAAAAACAAAAAAGGAAAAATTGATACCACTGAATTCACAAAGTTCATGTGAGTGTTTACAAAAACCAGCTGTGATCATCCTTTGCCCACATTCCCTTCCCACTTCTTTTTTTTTTCCTTTTTCATTTTTATGGGTACCAGGGATCGAACTCATGACCACCTGCTTGCAAGGCAGGTGCTTATGCCACTGAGCTAAATCTCCAGCCCCTCCCTTCCCACTTCTAGGCAAAATCCTAAACTCTGTGGATGTCTCCACAACTAACCCCTGGCTCTTCTTTCCCCCTACCCTGACCAAGGAAGCCTTCTAGGCTATCTCTGGAGTCAGAAAAACTTTCACACTGGCTAGTCAGTTGGACCCTCTCAGGGTTATTTGCATTTTAAAGAATGCTGAGGGCTGACCTGGCTTCTTTCAAAGGAAGGAAAGCCTTGGAGCTAGTAAAGTCTATCTAGGGATGGAGTCTTAGCCTAGTGTCTAGGGGTGGACTTCTGGGGGGTGGTCCATGAACTCCCCTTGAGATTGTATGCAACCATGTTTTTTTTTTTTTTTTTTTTGTCTTTTTCCTTTTTATCGGTACCGGGGATCGAACTCATGACTGCCTACTTGCAAGGCAGGCGCTTATGCCACTGAGCTAAATCTCCAGCCCCTGTATGCAACCATGTTAAGGTGAGGTGCATTGTTTTCCTTAGTTCATCTCTTTCTCCTTCGCCCTCTCTCTCTGACAGGGTCCAGGCTAGCTTTGAATTCACAGTGATCCTCCTGCCTCAGCCTCCCAAGCGGTGGGATTACAGGACAGGCATGCACCACCACCTCTGGCTGTAGTTTCTAGGGAGAGAAAAAAATAAAAATCCTAGAGTTGAGATTTTAGGAATTTTAGGCATCAACAAGAAAAAGAAAAGTGGGCCAGAGGCCCTGGCAGTGCCCTGGAGACCACTCCAGGAAGATGACAGTACCTCCCACCGCCTGCCAACTGGCATGCTTTTCTCGGTGGAGCACAGACTCCTGGTTTCCTCCTTGAGACTTGCCTGGGTGTCTTGGTGACCTGTGGCTAATGATTAACCCCCCAGGTGGCCTTTTCCTTTCATCTCCTGGCAGAGAAGGTAATAAGGCTGTTAAGACTGCAAGGGGTGCCCTCCCTGCCCCTCCCTTCTGCTGAGAAGAGCCACCCCCAATCCCTGGAGAGGAACCCCTGGGAAAATCAGAATTGCGAGGTCGCAGTCCAGTCAGCTTCCAGGCTGCAGGCTGTGACACCCTGGGGGCTCCTGACATCCCTGCCAGACCACCTGCCAGCACGCAGGGCAGGAACTGGATTCGTTGTTCAAATGATGGTAACTGATAGGGGCACCACCCTTTCAGTGAGGCTGAGGCCACTCCCATCTGCAGTTTTATTTCAAACACAGAGTAAACAATTCTGTGCACAGTCCTCACTTGGCATCTGTGGGATTGGGTCTAGGATCTCCCATGAATACCAAAACCAGAAGGCTCCAGCTCCTTAGAGTGGTTATAGCATTTGCATATAACTTACATACATAGGCTGGGTATGCTTGCCATCCCGATATTTGGTAGACTAAAACAGGAGGGTCGCGATGAGTTCCAGGCCAGCCTGGAATACATAAGCGAATTCAAAACCAGCCTGGGCTGCGTCGGGAGAATCTGTCCCAAAACAACAACAACAAAACACTTCTGTACATCCTCCTGTGTACTTGTTTAGATCATCTCTAGACGGCTTATTATACTCTTTAAAAAGAGGCTGGGAGTTTAGCTCAGTGGCATAAGCGCCTGCCTGGCAAGCATGAGGTTGTGAGTTTGATCCCTGGTACCAAAAAAATAAAAATTAAAAAATATGGTATAGCCATTTACATATACTATTTACATTCTCATACCAAGGAATAGATGCAAAGGCTCTTTTTTTTTTTTTAGACATAGTCCCAGGCCCCAAACTCCTGGACAGTTCTCTGGCTCACATTGCAGTGCCCAAGCAAATGTGTAGGGTTTTTCTTGCTTGTTTTTTTTTTTTTTTTTTTTTCCTAGTTTGGTTTGGGTTTTTGTTTTGTTTTGTTTCATTTTGTTTTGAGATAGACTCTTGCTATGTAGTTTAGGCTGGCCTTGAGCTCACTTTGATCTTTCTACCTTAGCCTCTGGACAAGTTCTGGGATTGTAGCTGTGTACTGCCACCCTGAGTTTGTTTTGGTTGTGGTGCTGGGGATTGAATCCAGAGCCTCGCACAGGTCAGGCAAGTGCTCTACCACTGAGCAACACCCTCAGCCCTGGATACAATTTTAAAAAATTATTTGTCAATCATGGTTGGTTGACTCTCCACATGTGGACTAATTGTATAGTAAAACCTCATATAGATGTCATTCAGCTCCAAAAGTTGATTTCTATGATTATGATTTTATAATTTGTACCAAATCTTATTTAATCTTCCTGTAATAGTATTTTTATGTTTGCTTTTGCAGAATAGCTTAAAGCAAATTCCAGATAATATGTCATTTCTCTTGTAAAGACTGTAGTCTGCATCTGTACTAAAGATGTTCTTTAAACATGACCCTCGTAATATTAAGTAATAATGCCTAATAAAATCAATAATAATTCCTCAATATCATCAAATGGTTATACCTTGAGGGTGTTTATTTTAAGATAGGCTCTTCTTACTATATAGTTCCAGCTGGTCTTGAACTTGAAGGAATTCTCCTGCCTCAGCCTCCTGTGTGCTACATAACAAGCAGATAACATTGAGTGCTGCCAGCCTATGGCTTATTTTTAAAAACATCTTCTTCTGGCTGGGGATTTAGCTCAGCGGCATAAGCACATGCCTGGCAAGCACAAGGTAGTGAGTTTGATCCCCAGTACCAAAAAGAAAAAAAACTTTTTCTAATTAGTCTGTTTAAATCAGAGTAAGCAAGAGCCTCACTCTACATTTCTATTAGGTCCCTAAGTTTCTTTGTATCTGTATTTTTTTTATCCCTTTTTGTTTAGTATTTCTTTTTGTTATATTTGACTATATACACTTAAAATATATAATTTGATGAGTCTTTGCATTTTCATATACTGCAAAAGCCTAGAACAATCAAGAAAATGCATGTGTCCCCTTCTGTTTATGCTTTGACATAATTCTCAATTTACAGATTTTTTTTTTTTTAATTTTAAGTAATGGGTCATCCAAGTTTCATGTGGCCTGCCTATAGTCCCGTCTATTTGTGGTTGAGGCAGGAACTTGAGTCCAATAGTTTTGACCAGGCTGGACAGCCCAACAGAATTCCACCTCAGAAAACAAAAGGCCAGGCATGGTGGTATGTGCCCATAATCCCAGCACTCTGGGAGGCTGAAACAGGAGGATCACAAGTTTGAGCCCCCAGTCTATGCAATTTAGTGACTTAGGGCTCTGTTTCAAAATAACAGAACGTTTTTATTGATCTGTTGGGGTGACTAAAGTATGGTATTTTTCTTTCTTTTTGTTTTTCCTTTTACGTATGGCATTTTTCAATGGTCAAGAGCATGGTTTCAAAAGATGTTTCTTCCTGTCATGGGCTTGGGTCCCAGGTAGTAACGGTTAGCTCATCCTAGAAGCTGTTGAACATTTGTATATCCAGGCCATCATGCCGCACGAAACATCCCAGCCCTGTACCTGGTAGGTGCAGTAGTCAACTTGCTGTCGTTGGATAACATATCTGACACCTACAATTTAAAAAAAAGATTTGTTTGGCTCTCTGATTCAAAGGGTTTCAGTCCCTGGGTGGCTGGTTCCGAGGTGGAAGGAACCTGCCAGGCTCAATCCATGGCAGCCAGAAAGCAAATGAAAGCAAAAGAATCAGAGCGAGAGGAAGTCCTGGGGGATGAGATTACATCCTTCCAGCTCAGGTCCCCAGGGACCCACCTTCTCCAAATAGCTATCCAGTCATCAATGGGTTAGTCCATTGATCAGCCGGTTGCTTTCCAAACACCCTGTTTCTGTACCCATGATACTTGGGGGAGGGGGAGGCTTAAAATCCATAACAGCGGGCTAACAGGAAGTCAACTTCATTCAGAAACCACTGGGTTGTTGTCATAGTTGTAGTCATCATTTTGCATAAAGCCTGGCTTTTATGACAGGGGACTTGCCGTGCTGGATCGGCTGAAAAAGCTCCAGCATAGGGTAGAGGAAGTTCCAGCTGGCAATAGGCTAAGCTAACCTTGAATCATAATCTTAGACAAAACATTTCTTAATTGCTAGCTGTCTACGTGCAGAGCTGACTAGAGTCTGGCTCAAGGGTTAAAACGGAAAAGGGGACAGACACGATATGAAGACAGAGATGCCACGCCCTTCACCCCATCTAGCCACCCATCTGATATCTGTGGGCCCAAGTGAAGAGTAGGTGTTCTCAGCAAAAGGCCTTCAGACCCCTGGGAGGTAACCCAGGCAACCGTTATCATAACCTGCAAGTCTTATCCGCAGCAGAGCAAGTGGGGAGTAATAATGTAGTGCCCAGCTGGGTGACCTCCAAAACTAGTGGTTTTAGTTGACTGAGAACAAGGAAGCTAGAGGGATCATTTAGGTCTTTTACTTGGTAACGATTTCTTACTTTATACATTCTGCTCCTGTGGTTTTAGCTGAGTCTCATGACTGGCCTGTTAAAACATGCCGTACTGTTAAAGATAATAGCTGATGGTGTCCAGAGACTGATTTTGTCATGCAGCCTTTTGTCCTATTGTCACACGGCTGGTGGTCCCTAACTGTCCCAAGCTCAGATGCATCCTGGAGATGTCATTAAATATGTTCCTCTATCTCATCTGTAACACAAGCTACTCAGATACAGAGGTTTCACTTGATTCAAATTGAATTTTTTTAGGCAAAAAGATTTCACCAATAGGGCTAGGTGCTTCTGGTAGCATATCAGGAAATAAGAAATTATCTGGTGGTTTTCCTTTAAGAAGCTACGATTCAGTTGATGTGGGGATGATCCCTCCATTATCAAATTCTCAGTCACCTTGTGGTCTGTGGCGCCATAGAAATGGCTCTCCAGATCCATTATCTCGTAGGGCCAAACAGCAAGCATTTCCTAAGCACTCCCATGTGCCAGGCATTCTGGTCAATACAGGGGACACAGAATAAACAAAATTTGGTCCCCATCCTTAAGAACCTTATAAGGTAGTGGTGATGAGTAAACATTCAGCACCTCCCCACTACCTTATAAGGTTCCATTTCATTTATTAAATATGTATTGAATGCCAATTATATAGCAAGCATTGTGCCAGATGCCAGTAATTGCATTATAGTAGGTGAGAAAAGAGATAGCTGCCATTTATGGAAGCTCCCTCCCTATACTGTGTGCACTGTACACCAGCCCTATACGGCCTTTTGCTACTGTATACCCCTTTTACAGATTGGGACACGGAGGCTCACAGAGAGGTAGAGATCTGATGAAGGTTGGGGTTCTTCACAGAATGGAACAGGCTGGATACACACTGTATATGGATGGCATTGGTCCAGGGGATTGTGGAGGCCTCCAGGCCACACAATGTGCCATCAACAAGCTGAGAACCCAAGGGGTCAGCAGCATGGCTTGGGTCAAGTCCAAAGCCTGAGAAGATGAGCATCCTGACTCCTGAACAGAAAGAGCATATTTGTGTTGGGGATGTAGCTCAGCAGCATAAGCGCCTGCCTTACAACCGTGTGGTTTTGAGTTCGGTCCTCAGTACCGATGAAGAGGAAAGAGCTCGTTTGCCTTTCTTCTTCTCTTTTTTTCTACAATCTGTATTTGTCTGTCTGAAGTTTTTTTTTTTTTTTTTAAGTTTCTCCACCACCCCATCCCCAATACTGGGGATTAAATCCAGGCTCTTTGCATTGAGCTACACATCCCAGACCCTTAACACATTTTTTGTAAAATTTTGACACAGGGTCCCATTAAGCCACCCATGTGGTACTCAAAAGTACATCTTCCTGCCTCAGCCTTCCTCAGTGCTAAAACAACGGGCATATACCACTGTGCCTGGTTTCCAGAGCCTCTTAAATCCATGTGATACTGGTAAGATCAGGGCAGATTTAATTCTAGGTGCCATTTGAACCGACTGGCAAACATTGCTCAATTTGGCAAGAAATGGCATGAGCCGTTGGCCTGAAACTCCAAGGCCCAGGGCAGCCAAGAGAAGCCAAGCAAGAATAAGGCTGAGGTGCTGCTTGTCCAACCTGACCAGACAGAGCTTCCAGTAAGGCGTGGGGGCCATTGGGATTCATTTCTAAGCAAAGAAGGCCCCACCTCACCCTTCCCCTCCTCTCAGAGCCACAGTTACCTGGCCAAGGGCTCCGTCCACTGTGAAGGAGAGACAAAGCCTTCCCAAAGGCCAACCCGCTGTAGGCTCCACCACCAATGAAATCACTCCTTGCAAAAACACCTGGGGGCGTGGCTAAGTACACTGAGGGCGGAGCCTGGGTTGTAGCCGGTGACGGGGGGGGGGGGGGGGGGGGGGACGGGGACACACACACCTCTGTCTGCCCCTCCCCAGCCCAGTTGACCCAGTGGCTGTTCCCAGGGAACCACGTGCACCCTGCTAGCACTGGGCACAGACGCTAGGGCACTGCCGCTGCTCGGGGAGTACTCAGCATTTCCACTCTCCCCATCTCTCACACCCCCTTAGCCTCGCCCCCGCCAAGGACTGGCCCACTGACCTCCCGGCCCGTCCATAAGAGACCCGGCTCCCGAAACCTGATTGGAACTCCCCTTCAGGGTTACTCAGGGGTCCCATCTCAAACCCCAAATTCAGGCTGACTGTGCTCTTTTATTGAGATCATCACCATTAACCTAACACCCAGCACCAAAAAAGAAGAAAAGAAACAAACATGCAAAAAAAGGTAACTCGAGCCAGGCGTGGTGGCTAGCCCGTAATCCCAGCACTTGGGAGGCTGAGACAGGAGGATCTTCGCGAGTTCGAGACCAGCCTGGGCTACAAAGTGAGCTCAAGGCCAGCCTGAATTGCACAGCGAGACCCTGTCTCAAAAAGACAAAAAATAAAACAAAACAAAACAAACAAAAAAGATAACTCAAGTTTTCATTTTTTTATAATTAAACTTATTTTCTAAAAACTGTATGTGCCTTTCAACCATGAAGGTGAAACTTATATAGTTTTTCCTTAAAAAAAGAAAATTTGCCAGGCATTGTTGAATAGAAACTGCATAGTGAAACCCTGTGTCAAGAACAAAAAAGTGGATTTTTTTGTTTTTGAGACAGGGTCTTTGCTATGTGATTCAGGCTGGCCTTAAACTCACTATTGTAGCCCAGGCTGGCCTCGGGCTCACTTTGATCTTCCTGACTCAAATTAGTGAGTGCCTGGATTATAGGCATGTGCCACCACCCCTGGCTGCAGTCCACAGTTATATTTATTTCTCAATTCCCAGGAGGTGGCCAGAATGTTGGAAGAAATTGATCTTGTGTCCTTGAAGCAAAATTTCTTTCCTTCCCTAAGACTTGGTTGAGCATCTGTAAAATGAGTCAGTTGGGTTAGAAGGAACCTCTGGATCTCCTCTGAGGACTATGACTGAGCTCATTGAGATTGAAAATTGTGTCACTGTGAGTCGCCATTGCCCTAAGAGGGGGCGGGAGGGGCAGGGGCTATGAAGTCACTTTTCAAGTCAGTGGTACCAGCAGGCACAGTAGTAAGGTCCTGGATTTGATCCCCAGTACCATGCACGCTCACAAGGCTGGGCATGGTGGTGCATTCTGGGAGGCAGAGGCAGGAAAAGCATAGGTTTGCACCCAGTCTAGACAACTTAAATTACTTAGATCCTGTCACAAAATAAAAACTAAACTAGCACTTGGGAGGCTGAAGCAGAAGGATCACTGTAAGTTTGAGGCCAGCCTGGGCTACATAGTGAATTCAAGTTCAACCTGAACTGCATAGCAAAACCCTGTCTCCAAAAATAATAATAATAAATTTTTAAATTAAGTGCCTGCCTGGTAAGCATGAGATTGTGAGTTCAATCCCTGGTACCAAAAATAAATAAATAGATAGATAAAATTTAAAAAAAATTTTTTTTAAAAATCTGGGTACCCACTGCAAATGCCAAGGGTTCAAGTTCCAGAAGCACCAAAACAAAACAAAACATGAAGTGAACGCTATTTATAAATTCATAATTGCTTTCAATTTTATTTATTTAGTATTTTGAGAGAGAATTTCAGATCTAGTTCAGGCTGGCCTTAGTCTCCTAGCAATTATGAGGTCCTGAGTTCGATTCCTAGTACCCCAAAAAAAGACCTAATTATAGTCATACAACAAAATACAAATGCTTTAAATAGTATATAATGATTCAAAATTGGAAAGTAGGGTTAGAGATTGAGCTCAGCAGTGTAAGCACTTATCTGGCAAGCCTGAGGTCGTGAGTTTGATCCCCGGTACCAAAAAAAAAAAAAAAAATACCCAACATTGGAAACTGCAATTTATGATGCTCATAAGGGCACGAAATTGCTTCCACCAGATATTTTTTCAAATTAGGGAAATTTGAGGTGACTGACAATTCTGCTATTATTCATTATATTATTACACATTATAACATATATGTAATAAATTTTCTTCTTTATATTTCAAATATTCTTTTCTATTTTAATTGTGTCTCTAGCTTGTCCAACGTGACCTTGAAATTATGATCCTCTTGCCTGGCTTTCAAGTAACTAGCAGCCAGGATTACTGGTATGTGCCACCATGCCCAATTTAAATGTTCTCCTCCTCCTTCCCCTCCTTTTTCCCTTTTATCTTTCAGTACTGGTGATTGAACCAAAGGCCTTTGCACTAAACTGCCTCCCCACCTCTTTGTTCTTGTTTGTTTGTTTTGAGATATAGTATGGCTGTCATAAGTTTCCCAGGCTGGGCTTTCCCAGGCTCTTGTCTCAGCCTCCCAGAATGCTGGGGTTAGAAGCATGCACCACCACTCCCAGCCTCAAATATTCTTTTCTTTCTAAAAGATTAAAAAAAAAAATAAAAAACTAGGCAGGAGCATAGCTCAGTGGCAGGACAATTGCATGTGTGAGGCCCTGAGTTCAATCTCCAGTAAACATTGTTAGAAAAATTAAGGCATGTACTAGATATAAAAAAACAGGTTTAATGAAATTAAACAAAGTATTTTTTTAGTCTCTTTCTTCATAAGTCCAGACTTGTTCCATGCTGGGTGTTTAGCCCTTTGAGTTATGTGTGAAATGTATTGAACTAGGGACAGGTGTCTGGCCACAGAAAGGAACAAAGTTATGCTATGTGTACAACATAGGTCACCCTGAAGACATGCTAAGCAAATAGAGTGATCGAAGACCACAGATTACACAGTTCCATTTTTTTACGTATTTGTGGATTTTTTTGAAGACAGAATCTCTATGTAGGGCTCCTCATGCATCAGCCTCCTGAGTGGCTAGGATCACAGGTGTGCAACCTTGTCTAGTTCTCAATTCCTTTTTTAATGAAATGGTCAGAATAGGCAAATCTAGAGAGCTGGGGATTTAGCTCAGTGGCATAAGCACCTGCCTTGCAAGCAGGCAGTCATGAGTTTGATCCCCAATACCGGTTAAAAAAAAAAAAAAGAATACGCAAATATAAAGACTGAGGCTGGCTGCTGATGGCTTTGGGGCTTTTTTCAGGGAGGATGAACATATTCCAAATTTAGATTGTAGCCAGGTGTGCAATCCCAGCACTTGGGAGGCTGAGGCAGAGAATCACTGTGAGTTCAAGGTCAGCCTGGGCTACATAGTAAATTCAAGACCAGCCTGTACTATGTAGCAAGATCCTGTCTCAAAAAACACAAAAATCGGGGCTGGGGATTTAGCTCAGCGGCATAAGTGCCTGCCTTGCAAGTGTGTGGTCGTCAGTTCAATCCCTGGTACCGATAAAAATGAAAAAAAAAAAAACAAAAAAAAAAAAAAACAAAAAAAAAAAAAAAAAAACCTCACAAAAATCAAAAACAGACAAATAGAAACAGAAAAATTAGATTGTAGCAATGTGTACAAGATTGTACAACCTTGTAAATATACTTAAAAACCTTGACCACTTTACATGGATGGATTTTATGGTATGTGTATGGTATGGTATGGTATGTGATGTATGTGGATTATATCACAATATAACTTGTTTTTTCAAAGTAAGAAAGGGAGTTTTGCTCAGTGTCAACTTACTAGCGGGATGACGTTTTAAATTCTGTACCTATCTTTTGTTTCACAAACTGAAAAATCCAGAAAACGTTGAGATTTTTGTTGTTGTTGTTATTTTTTGAGATAGGGTCTTACTATGTATTCCTGAATTTGCTATGTAGTCCAGGCTGGCCTTGAATTTGTGGTAATCCTCCTGCTTCAGCCTCCCGAGGGCTGAAATTACAAGTATGCATCATACACCCAGTCAAATCTAGAAAACTTTCTTCTACACATATACAAAATTATGGCTGGGCATGTTGGCACACGCCTGCAATCCCAGCCCTTGGGAGGCTGAGGCAGGAGGACCACTGTGTGTTTGAGGCGAGCCAGGGCTACACAGTGAGATCCTGAATAAAAAAAAAAAAAATGTAAATATATATATATATATGCACAATTATAATAACAATAAAATTAACAGCATGTCTACAATACTTGCCATGTATACATTATGTTCCAAGCACTTTTACTTGCATTAACTCCAGAGCCCCTATGAGAAAAATGCTATTCTATTCCCACTTGAGAAAACTGAGAGGGGACATGATTTTCCATGGTTGCTAAGCGGCAGAGCGGGGACTGAAGCACAGGGGCCAGGGAGTGGCTGAGGCCACCAGTGCAGCAGTTGTGACCACAATCACTCTCTCTGCTGTCTGCAAAGAACGACCCAAGCAACGCAGCTCTCCGGTGGCCGACTGCCCCCATTTGCCTGGAACCGGGAGTTCCTAGGTGCTAAACCGCAAGCACCAGGTAAACTGCGGCAGTTTAATCACACCATCAGAACCAGTGAGCATGGGTCACTGTTCACCCCGCATGCCCATGCAGTGAGTGCACACACCATGCTCACCTACGCATGTGTTGATGGAAGGGCTGCTACTGGCCCTTCCCTGGCTTGTTTGGAAGGCAGGGTGGAGCTGGCCAGGCTGGAGCCAGAGAGGAGCAGGTGACAAGAGCTTCCTTTCTCCTTCCGGAGTAGTGACCAGCAGAACTATAAAATGTGGGCAAAGGGCAAGACTTCCACACAGGTCTGGAAAACTTCAGAGTCCAGAGTGAAGGATCCATAAGTGTTCAGAGTTACTTTCCAGCTTTTCGGGTGACAATCATTTATCCACTCTCAGTGAGTCATTCAGAGAGCGCTCACTGGGCGCCTAGCGCAGACCTGGACCTGGTGCTCAGCTGGTGAGGAAGGGGGCCTTGCTGCCTT